GGTTTCATGTCCTCTGGGCTGCTGTTATCTTGGCCCAGATATGTTTAATCTCAATGGAGCTCTTGTCTGGTTAAGTCAAGTTATAAATATATGATTTATTTACAAATGATCTTTTAGCAGATGATAATGAATGAAGCTCTTTTAGCACAGCCTTTGATGCATTCACTGCACACAACTACTACTGTGTCCTACTTTGACGTCTCTATGCCTCCATATGTTAACACATGAACATATATTCTCTTCGTACATGTAAAATTTGGGGGTACCAGAATCATGGAATAACTGATGAATTGCTGTATTTATCTTCAAACACAACACAAACAATGACAGTAACCGAACATAAAGCAGAAGCCCTGCAGTTATCAGACTTCCTCCCTGCGACCTGACATGAGAAAACAGTTCCTCTCATGTTCAGCGATGGATGGTTGCAGGGAGGAAGAGGAAGTTACTTGCTTTTAACACCTCATGAGTTACATAGAGAGAATGGGTAAACCTTACGCATGAGTTGTTTTATAGTGGAAATAAAAGACCACATACAGTACCTCTGAGCAAATGTTTAGTCTTTTTATTTACTTAAACAATAATGAATTATTAAAATATTGATTACTTTTCTGTTGTTTGACTAACTGAATAATCAACTATCAGCACTATTCTTAAGGAGTGTGAGAAAATATCGATACATTTGAGTATTATAGTGTTTTGTGATATAGTTTTTAATCTAAAAACACTGTATTCGTTTTTTTTGTTTAAACCCGAGACAACAGTGTTCTGTATGTAAACTACTATGATGGTGGATGTTACAGTGAGTCTGATAAATACAAATGCAGATCCCACTGTCAACTTTTTGTTAAGGATGCACAATAATTATCAACCTATAATGGTAAATTTGTATTATTCTGAATTATTGGGATAGTTAAATTACAGAGTATAAATGGTCCATAATAGTAATTATTTATTTTCAAGTCTTGTGCAAAACATTTCATAGCCTTAATGTTCTATGAAAGTATGTGTGTTAAGTTTTTTGATGAACATTTGAAGAGTCAGAGCTGTTCTTTGTTGTTAGTGATATATAGATTTATATAGATTTATAGTGACTCTTTGTTCTTTGTTAGGTTTGAGCGTTAGAATATTTACTCATCCATCTTTGCTCACTATATCTCAGCCTTTCTTGCAAGTGTGTAAAAACTACAGGTTATTAGGATATTAGTATATTGTGCATCCCTACATTTTTTAATACTAAATTTGAATGCATCTGCCGGTGTGTTATTTATACTATGGCTCTTTTTCCTAAAATTAGATTTTATTAAAATCGCACATATCACCTTGCTTACAGTGTCGCAGTATATTGAATCAAAACCCCTGTATCATGATACGCATTGCCAGTGCACAGTCCTACTATTCTATATAATCCACTGATAAACAACTTGACTACCCTGTCATGAGGAAGCAAAATAAATTGGTCAGTTCCAGATTTGCATTCATGTATGTATTACTGTACGTCTCTTATTTCACTGTCTTAAAAAAGTGTTTTTCTTTTTTTCTAGAATTCAGTACATTTGAACGGGCACACTGTCACTAAAAATGGCCACAACCCGACAGCTACGCCTGCACCACAGCCACAGTTTGAATCCCGAGTCTCGAGTCCTGCACCCACTCCGACTCCAGTCATACCGAGGGAGCAGTGGGGAGGGAAGTACGAGTTCCTGCTCTCCTGTATTGGATACTGCGTGGGACTGGGGAACGTGTGGCGTTTCCCCTACCTTTGTTATCGCAATGGAGGAGGTGAGCAGTCTTCAAGCATGTTCACTGCCCTCTTAGGTCTCAAATGCTTTAAATGCCTGGGTGTATGTCTGTAATGATTTGTTACACCCATTTGGACGACAGGCACTCTTTGCCCTGCCCATGGGTGTGCACTGCCTTCCTAATCATGCTGGCTTATTTTGCACACTGTCCGGAGCTCTCCATGGCAGCCTTCGTTACTGGGAGCTAGAACACAAAGCATTCGCTAATCCTTTAAGTAGAGACAGAGTTTTCCTTAATTACACACCATACATGTAGTCTTTCTAACCCAGCCGCTAGTGATATGCATCTTGAAATCAAACATCAAACATGTTGGAGCTTGACTAAGATTAAAGCAGAATTACATCTGCCTGTAATGCTGCCACATAGACAGAAGTTGTATAAGGTACCCTGCCTCTTCAGTCTGCCTGCACAAAACAAGTCATTGCATTGTATTTGTCCCCCCAGCACCACATTTCCTCAAGCTCTTTCTCTCTCTATCTTCACAGGTGTGTTTCTCATCCCCTACTTCATAATGCTGTTTTTTACGGGTGTTCCACTCTTCCTCATGGAGCTGAGTTTAGGCCAGTATGGAGCCGCGGGCCCTATCACTGTGTGGAAATGCTGCCCTCTGCTCAAAGGTAAAGACCTCGCTGTATTGTGATCTTTAGCCCAGTAATAAAAAAGTACACAATTACACATACTGTAATTCAGTGATACAAGTTTGAAAACTTTCAGAGATAATTATGTCTGTGTGGGGACGTAATGTGGGCTGATACTTAATTCTAATTAGCTGTACAGTGTTAAAAAGTATAAAAATATCTGATCGCACTTCTATGTAAACTCTCCAGGAATCTTGAGCATCCAATTTGAACCATATGTATTGATCTGACTAAGCAGGATCTCAAGCTGACACTAAGATGGCCTGCGTCAGCAGTCAGTCAACATTATGGTCCAGGAAAATAACTGCCTGACTGAGTTTGCCACCTCACTACACTACGTCATGTGGCTAACCCTGAAAATTCCTGAGAGCTTGGCAACTCAGTTGCTAAATATAAACATCTTACAAAGAAACCTGAACCAAAAATAGGGCATCAAAAGAAGGTTTTATTAAAAGGCTAGTTTATTTCAAACTGGAAATACCAGCAGAAAGTTGGCAGGCTGAATTAAGAGCGTTGAGATGGAGCTCCATCAAGTGTTACAAAAGGAAACAGACACTCTAAGGTGTTGATTAAATATATGTATTATGTTTCAACTACACGTATATAAAACATATACATCTGATGTCTAATACAGTATCCTTACACAATACCCTGTATATCCTGTTTTTCTGAGATACTTATGGCTGTGTTCCTTCCTGTAGGTATTGGCATTGGGATGCTGTGTGTGTCCACGCTGGTGTGTCTCTATTATAACGTCATTATAGCATGGACGTTTTACTACCTGGGCAGCTCTTTCCAGAGCCCACTGCCCTGGTCCTGTGAAGCTATAGCCAATGCAGGTCTTTGTGGTAATGGCACTACTGGCAATGGCTCCACTAATAAAACCCTCAGCCCCACAGAGGTTTTCTGGAAGTAAGTATTTTATGCAATCATTCACCTCTCTTATATGTAAAATAAAAATAAAAATCAAGCCTGCTTTGCACATTTATACAGGCTGTTTGGGAATAAATGACCCAGTGTTTCATTACCATAGATCTCTTTAGACTGTCAATTATCTACTGTATATCTCCATTCAACTTCATCATGTCATACAAGTGTTATTTTATAATATGTATGATGTGTCCACTCCTTTTTGACTGACTTGTATATGGCTTTGGCTTCACACACTCAATATTCAAATACTCCATTTTTGTTCAACAAACACAAGTATTGTTCACAATGCCTGGACACTTCAAACTGTTTAAACCTTTTCAGCTAATATAACTAAAGACTTTGCGGTAACACCTTATATGATGCCTGGAAATATAATACATTATACTGTAACACCTGCATCATTATGATGTTGTAAGGCGTTATGACTCTGATGACCGCTTATTGTCTTCTTTGAGTAAAAGTAAAGGGTTATTGATATACAGCAAACAAACCAAAGGGCTCAAACTGAGGCAACATATAACATCTAGGTCACGCTGTTTGTTCACCCTATCACCAGAGCATGCTCTGAATCAGGCATGGCATTCAGAGGCATTGAGAGAGGCCATTTCTCTATTGAACTCTGCCCCCTCCCCTCGAGGAATTTTCCCATCCCTACTTCCCACTGCTTACTGACGTGCCCAGCACCCAGTACATATAGTTGTTGCTCTGTTCATTTTATACTTGTGTGTTTCTAATTTAGCAGTCTAACTAATTTGTTAATTTATCCCATGTGTTTTAAATGAGATATGTGTGAATGTGTGCAGTGCTCAGACAATCAGAGCACTGTGTTCTTAACACTTTATAACCATTAATGCAAAATGGATAAAGCACTTATAAATATCTGCAATACTTAAGTATTATGATTATATGTGTAATGCCCTTTGACTGGTTATACATTATATTTTACATTATACTGTATTATACATTATAAAGGTTTATAGCAACTCCTATAATCAATGATGCATGTCTTAACACATATACAAATACATTATAGATATAGGCTTCATAGAAAATGTTCCTGACTGATCCTGATGTGCTGCTCTCTTGTAGCACTCATGGAGTATGTTATTTATTTATATGTATGTATGTATGTATGT